TTCCTTCCTTCCTTCCTTCCTTCCTTCCTTTTGCTATATTGACAGGGAATTTGAAAATCTGAATTCTCAACTGTGTTCAATTAAAACTAAAATCAGGCAATAAAGATGGTGGATGGTGTCTCCAGACTTATTTTATACCTTGAAAGATGATGCAGTACTTTGGACAACACAATAAGAAAACTAAAGGATGATATCATAGTAGTATTTATTTAACTATTGTGTCAGTCCTCTAAGCAATTCCATCATTCTTCCATTTTCTTATTTTAATCTTTTTAAACATAGCTGGGAATTGATGAGTAATGATGGCATAATTTGTAGAATGTTGAAATAGCATAGTGTATCTTAGATTTGTAAAAAGATCCAGTGGACACATATGATAGTTGCCAGATAGGATGAATTTTATTTTATTTTAAAAATATATTTTCCTTTTTTGGTCTGTAGAAGACTTCTAAGAAAAAAAAAGTCATGAGATAGCTTTATAAATAAACCTGCAGACAATTTAAATATGACACTATTAATAATATGATAATAAAACTGAGTTGGTAAAGAATTTCTAGGTAGGTATTAATCATAGCCAGCCTTTTAGTAATATCTTTCTCGATTCTTCCATCCAGAAATGGCTTGATATACTCAGCTAGTGACCTCATGGAGTCATTACATAATAAAGAAAAATGTCACCTCTGTGATTCTGGACAGTCCAGGCTGATGGAGATGAACACTTGCATATAGGTCAAACTAGTTAAATATAGAATGGTGGTTTTCAGAGTCTGTTGCCAGGGGCTCAGCAGCATCAGTTCTGCTTCTGTGGGAGATTTTTCAGATGGTAAGAACAGAGCAGAAGCCAGCAAGTTGAAGAGGATTGCATTGTGGAAATTTAAACTCTTTGGTAAAGAGTTTATTGATGACTCAGCTCTATTAATATGTGAACATTGATCTTGACGTCTTCCTTACCTGATTCCTAATTTATTGCAATAAGAACTTGGCTTACTTAAGTAACACACCTGTAAAAATTGATGTTATTGTACTGACTAAGTTGGGGGAAGGGACCTGATGACAGGTCACAAGATTAGTAAGGTTCTGAAAAGGTCAGAATTGTACTGAATTACGTTTAGGACAGATTGCTCCTGTGATCATTTAATCCAACACAGTCTTCTTATTGTCTCTGGTTTCCCTTCCACATAGATGATTTTTGAGGCTGGCCTGAGAAGGAAGTCATGACTCCAGTGGCAGCATAAAGCACATTGACAGCAAAATTCATACATTATAGCAGCTTTTTGTTTCATGCTGTATTGACAGACAACCTTGAATAAAAATGTCTTATAAAAGTCATGTAGAATCCCACAATATTTCAGTCACAAACAGGAGTGTCCTTGTTTTGCAGAGAAGATGGCAAGAATTAATGCCCTACAATATAAAAGTGTTTGGCAAAGCCAAGGCTGTAGTTCCAGTTCCTCATTTTCGGTCTTTTTTACAGATGGAAAGATGAATAGTTTTTGGTATTGAATTTTTTTTAAACAGCAAGTTATCATTTATCATCAGACATCTGTTCAATAAATATATTGAGAAATTAATTTTTTTTCAAATTTGAATTTAGTTTTTAAAACATTCGGGAAGAAAAACAATTTGTAAGTAATATTCAGGAAAAAATTAAAAAACCTAGTTAAATTTTGGAAACCTTGATGAACACATGACAGTAATTTTTCATAGAGTTGCATCAAAGAATGAACAGTACTCCAAATATGAATAATAGAATGTATTATAAGATATTTTACTTACATTTCTATTATTATGAAGTAAAATTGACTTTTTTCTTCTGGTGTACAGTTTTATGAATTTTAGCACATGTATAGTTTTCATGTAACCACCACCAAAACCTAGATACAGAACGTTTACATCACCTCCCAAAACTCCCTCATGCTGTCCCTTTATGGTCACTCTCCCTTAGCTAATAACTCCTGGTAACTACTGATTTGTTCTCCATCTCTATAATTTTGTCTTTTCGAGCATGTCATATAAATAAGATCACAGTATGTTACTTTTTGAGACTTGCTTCTTCCACTTGGCATATTTCCTTTGAGATTCATCTAAGTTGTTGCATGTATCAGACATCCCTTTTCATTGTTGAGTAATATTCCCTCGTATGGACGTACTATAGTTTTTTTATCCAATCACCCACTAAACGGCATTTGGGTTGTTTTCAGTTTGGGGCACCTATGAGCAGAGCTGCTATAAACCAAGGGGCAGAATTGCTGGATCAAATAGTGTTTATCTGGTTTTGATTTAAAAAAAATACTTTATAGATTTAGGTTTGTTTCAGACCCAGTCTGATTTTCTTCAGGTCATTTTCAGAACTGTTTTTCTTCCTGCTTCTGATGTAACATTTCATCTTTCATTTTTGCTATGTTTTCTTGATTCTCCTTTTTTTCAGTTTGCCTACATTGTAGGCATCTAACAATTTGTCTTCAGGAAGTAATAATATACATTGTCAAGGATTTAAGTATAAAAATGTTCATTGCAACAGCATACATAATACTAAAAACTTAGAAATTAAATTTTTGCCATACGTAATTAATGTGGAGTAGGGGAATTATTTCTAGCTAGTTGAATTCTGGGTGGTTGCAATTACTTTTTTTGGCATTTTTCCAAATTTTTATAATATGTTTTTTGTAGTTAGAAACAAAAGTAACCATTTTAAATTGTTTTCAAAGAACAATTAAGATTAAAGAGAATACAAGATCCAGCGAGTTCCCAATTTTTAAGTTAAAATAAATTTAAAACAGAAGTAAGTCTGCAGAATGTTAACAGCATTTATCTTTAAGTGATATAATATGGTTTATTTTTAACTTATTTCTATTTGTAAAAAGTTTTATAACTTTTGCTCAGTTAACTTCTAATACTTTTATAATAAACTTAAAAAAAAAACAAAACCGTTTTTTCGAACAAGATTATACTTGCC